TGTGTCGGTGTTAGTCACCCATTGGGCCGACGTCCGGAGACGTGTCGATGATAGTGGCCAATTTGGCCTACGTCCGGGGACGTGTCGATGTGTGTGGCCCGTTTGGCATACATCCAGAAACGTGTCGATTGCTTTTGTGAATACTTCATTGGAAAGAAAAGCTTGAACTTGTATTGATGTCTGTGTGACTACATTGCCTTATCGAACAAAAAAGATGAGTGCATGAGCAACATCAAAAGTAACTTGTCTTCAATGGAGGTGAGGAAGGCTTGGTCGCCTGCTTAGAGCCGAGCTGATAAGTGAAGAGCTTCATGGATAGTACCCTTGGAGGTGATGGGTATTTCATTGTCTTAGAACTTCCTTCTATTGAAAGATGATGAAAGGTTCGTCTTCTACAACTTGGTAGCTAGTGACGGCTTAGGAGACGGAAGTCGCCTGCTTGATCTTTCTCTTTTGCCCCCTGGTGGTCAGTCTGGGCTTTTGGAGTTAGCTAGGATCGTGTTGATCCATATGACCTTTTTCGTGGAGGTTCATCGTTAGCTGCGTCACAATCCTTGATTTGCTGGATAGCCCTCCTTGCGATGAATTCCGTGCAATGGCCGTCTCTAACTAGATCTTCAAAGTGCATTTTCCAGGCGAAGCAGTCATTTGTGTAATGACCATGCCCTTCATGGAATGTGCAGTATCCACTGGTATCCTTCTTGGTTGGGTTTCCCTTTAAAGACGATGGTTTCTTCAACCAAGGCATGTCTTTTACTTGGGCCAGGATCTGGTGTATCGGGATAGTGAACTTGGTGTAGCTCTCCGCTGCTAAAGCACCTTCCTGAGGCTGTGATCTGTGCTTGCCTGCTCAGCTACTTGATCAGCCTTCTTCGTGGCGATCCGGTCGTCGTCCTATAATGCGTAGCGCTCTGCTATAGCGAAGACTTCTACCAGTGTTTGGCGAGGATAAATGGTCAGCTCGCGATACAGCTCATATTCAGTTGGCAACCCCCTCTTGAAGGCAGAGAACGCAATTTGGTCATCGCATCCTACAATGTTTGCCCTCTCCGCTTTGAACCTCTTGATGTAGTCTCGCAGGGATTCATTGGACTTCTTGTGCATGTTGAACAGATGGTTAGGATTCTTCTTGATTGACCGATAAGAAGTGTATTCGTTAGTGAAGACATAAGCAAGCTCCTTGAAGCTGCTGATCGACCCAGATGGCAGGATGTGGAACCAGTCCTGAGATGCTTCTTGCAAAGTCATTGCAAACACCTTGCACATTAGTGCGTCTTCGGCTTTGTAGAGGATCATAAGGCTCTTAAAATGCTTCAGATGGCTTTCGGGATCGGAATCGCCTTTGAAGCATGTAAAAGAGGGCGTTGAGAATCGTTTCGGGGGAGCAGCCTACTCAATTTCGACGGTGAAAGGTGATGAGTTTGCTCGGTCTACCTCAACACGTAGTGCATCTTCGAAATGTCCACCAATCTTTAAGTCTTGAAGTCGGTTATTCACAAGCTTCTCAACGTCTTCCGCACATATGGCTAGTCAGTCACGTTGATGACCTTTACGATTTGGGTGAGACCGAGATACTTCCTCGTTGGTTTGCAAGGTTTGATCTTCTCGGCTGCGCTGCCTAGGCGGCGTGTTGGTGGACCATGCTTGCGAGGGATTTTCTGTAACTTGGCGATGAGAATTGGTTCTTCGAGAGCGATCAGTGGAGTGCCTTTCTTCACGGTCTTCATTATACAGGTTACCAAGTTGACCTCTTTGGGGGCCTAGCCTTTCGTGAATATTTCTCTGCGAGCGGGTAGCGGAGCACCTCTCTTCATGATCCTGATTGCGGCGATTGTCAGTTTGACCTCTCTGGGAACCTAGCCTTTCTTGAACATTTCCCTGCGGGCCCAGGCGAGCGCAAACGTCAAGTCGTGGGCCGAGTCTTTCTCGCACGTTGCTTTGTGTGTGGCTTGCAGATGCTTGTGACATGACGACAAGCTGATCACGTTGTTGTCCCTCTCCTTGTCTGCCCACTCCTGCTCGACCTGCTTGGTACCCATCGAGCTGCCGATAGGTGCGTTCATCCATCATTCTCTCTTCGCCCGGTTGTCCAAGGTCAAGGTTTTGAACCAAGTTTATTTGGTGCTGCCTCATCAGATTGGTTTGGTCGTCCATCCTCTGAGCTAGCTGGTCAACTCTCATATTAAGATCTGCTTGACTTCGTGGATCGGGAGGAGAGAAGTGTGTGGAGCCCAATTGCACATGGGCTAGGGTTTCATTGGATGTGTATGGAGGAGCATGCGTCGAGCGTGGAGGCAATGGAGGGAATGCTTGAAGTTGCTCTAAGACCGGGCCTAAGTCAGTGGAGGTAACGAGCCCACCTTGATGGGAGGTTCCACCATGCTCGGTGGCGATGCCACGGAGGTTGCTAGATCCGACTGCGGGTCTAGTAGGTGGCACGGTAGTGAGAGGTGGTGGTGCCACCATGTCGATCGCGGGATCATGGGTGGAGTGGATTTAGGTCGTCGCGGATTTAGCCATCGTGGCGGTTTTGCTCCTCGTGCGCTTGCTTCCAACCATGGTTGTTTGGAAAGCTTCGGTGGATTTGGACAATAGGAGGAACGAATTCCTTGAGCACGCGTTGAGTATAACTCGTGCTCTCAATGAAAGCAC